AAATATAATGAATTGAACTATGCTTGTCAATGTGAAGATGCAAATGCTTTATGAATAAAATAACGTAGTTGTATTCATGTGTGCCTTTTCTTTTGTTTTAATTTTTAATTATCAATTATAGAAAAAAAAAAGAACAAGATAGAAAGGACGAACAAAAAAAAAAGAAAAAGAGACGTGCGATATAAATGAACAAAACAACAAATAACACAGATACATATAACATGAAATAAAAACCACGTATATGAAAACAATGTTCATATATCGTTTTTGGTTTTTTTTCAACTACTACTGTTCGTTTGCCTCGCTTTAAATACAAATACACATAGAACAACAGAAAATCGAGAACACAACTCGATTATGAGAATATTATATAAGAAGAAATCAAAAGTCATTCAGTCATTTCGTTGTTTACACGAAAAAAAAAACAAACAAATAGAAGAAATAGAAAATGAAACAAAACCAACATATCGTTATTCTTTTCCCTTCCTCAATATACACACACACACACACATACTGTTAATAGAAACAACGAAAGATTCTTGTTTTTTTTTTTCTCGAAAATAAGTAATCAACACAAAGAACACAAAAAAAAACCTTATGTATAGGAATATCAAGGTAGAGATCATAAATAGAAGAGACTGTTCAATAGATTCATCAAATAATAACATACACATATACTCTATCAGAAACAAAACAATATATATAGAGAAAAACTGTTCTGTGTTTTTTGTTCAGTTGAAAAAAAAAGAAAAATCTCAACCAACCGGGAATACACGAGAGACAGTAAAAAATAGAAATAACCCGAAGAAATGAAAGTAGGTAAAGAAGAAAATGATAGGCTAATGTATGATGAAAAATAGACAGAAGAATAGTTTACATATATAAATCATAATTTAAAGAAGAAAAAAAGAAAAAAGGAAAAAAAACCAAGCAAAAACAAAGAAATACACACAATATATATATATATATATATAAAGAGTGACAATCGTATCTGATTAAATGAAAACAAGTAAAAAGCAAAACTCAAGATTGCTCATTTGATGGTTGTTCAGTAAAATCAATATCATCAATATCTTCATCTAAACTTGCTTCATTTTGTTCATCAATTATTTCAGTATATGATGAATAATCATCAGCAATCATTTCTTCATTATCATCAATTGTATCAATACAAAATCCATTTTTTGAATTTTTTATAGATCTTTTATTATTATTTATTGATGATATTGTTGTTGGTTGTTGTTGCTGTTGTTGTTGTTGTTTAAATACAGCAAGAATTTGTGGATTAAGTTCACAACGACGCATATGTTTTTCTAAAGTACTTGCTACAGAAAATGGCATTGAACAATAACGACAACGAAATGCTTCATTTCCAGCACGACCATGTGTTTTCATATGACGTGTTAATTTTGATGATTGTGCACATGCATATGCACATAATTCACATTTATATGGTTTTTCACCTAAAAAATAAATAAATCAAGAAATGATTAAGAAAAATGAATAAAACAAATAATTAACCTGTATGACTTCGACGATGAACAGTTAAATTTGAACAATTTTTAAATACTTTTCCACAATATTCACATGTATCATTACGTCGATCACGTTTTATTAATCGTTGAGGATTTGAATTTGATACATTAGTTAAATGAATATTATTATTATTATTTGTAAATAATGTTGATGTTGATGATATAGAATTATTTTCATTTCGATTTGTTCGATTTAATAGCCTTGATTGATGATGATGATGATGATGATGATGATAATTACCATCAGGCGATGTTAATGAATGATCAATCATATTCGGTTGAGATGGAGAATTTTGATCATTAAGATTATTTCCATTTGTAGTTGATAAATTAAGTACAGATGTTGAACATGGTGATGTTGTAGATAACGAAGGAGATGAACGTGTTGATACAAGACCCCCACCACCACCGCTATCAATCATTGAAACTATACAAGAAAAAAAAAAAGAAATATGTAAAGTTTAAATTTTATTGAAATTTATTCTTTTTTTTTTTTTTGTTTTGTTTACTTGATTGTGGTGATTGTTGCATTGTTATTTCAATATCATTCATTTGTGATTGTGTTGGCATTAATGAACGAAATGTTTGATGAAGCCATTTATAAGTTGATGAATTCGTTAATGATGTTCGATTATCATTAATCGATTCATTTGAATGATTATTTCCACCGGTATTTAATAATAATCCAGGTTTTTTCCATGTTATTGATTGATTATCATCATTAATGGTATTATAAGTAACACTATTATCATCTGTATCACATGGTTCATCTTTAATTGATTGTTGTGATTTAATATTATTTATTAATTTTATTGGTTTTTGTCGTATTGGTTTACGTTGATGACGTTTTCGTTCTTGTAATTGATCATTAGTTTTAGATGATGTATTATTTGTAGTTATTTTATTTTCATTTATTCCATGATAATGTATAGATGATGCTGGTTCATCTTCAGATGATGATAATGATATTGAAGGTGTTGATGATGCTGAAAGACGACGCATAGGACCAGTTGATAATGTTGAAACTCGATTTGATGAATTCGAAATAGATAATGATGTTGTTCGTTTATGTTCATCTTCATCATTTTGATCAGAATCTAGTGGTTGTCGTCGTTTATGACGTCGAATATTATCATCTGATCTTTCTATATCAAAAACGAAAAAAAATAATAATAATTTATTAATATAAATTATAATAAATAAAATTACCATAATGATTATGTACATTATTATTTGAATCATTTCTAATCTATGATTGAATAAGAAAATTTAAAAAAAAAATTTTTTTAATTTTTTGTTAATGAAGAAAAAAAAATATTTACTTGAGATGTAGTAACATCAAAAGATTTTGGTGTAAGAAATTGTGAATCTGTATTATTATTATTATTATTATTATTTGTTTTATCTTTTTCATATGTTTTACAAGTTTGTTGTTTAGCAACTTCTTTTAATAATTGGGCAATTGCATTTGATCGAACAGAATCTTGTGATAAACCTGAATATGTTGTACTAGATGTTGATGGAGTAAGTGTTGAAAATGGCACATTTGCCTTAGAGTTAGCACCTGCTGAGAAAGAACCGCGTGGATTACATTCACTATCGATTGTTGTTCGTATAGATAGTGAATGTTGTTGTTGCTGTTGTTGTTGTTGTTGCTGTGCAGATCGAGCAGCATTAGCTGCAGCTATCAATTGATTTGAAGCGAATGTTGTTGATGATGTTAGAGAACGATTAGATGATGTAGCTTGTTTAAATGCAGTTTCAAGTAAAGCAAGATTAATATCAAGTATTGATGAATCTTTTGTTAATAAATTACTATTCCTCAATGTTGCTGTTGTTGTTGTTGTTTGATTAATATCATTATTATTGTTAGCAGAAGAATTTTCATTTAGACAATTTCTATACATTTTTAAACCATGTAAACGTTGATAATGTTGTATGAGAAACCAAGCTAAAAGATAATTAATATAATTAATTGAAAACGGATAATTTTGTATTATTATTATTATTATTACCTGTACTATAAATATCACCACATTCACTGCATTCAAAATTATATGGTTCAGCTATATATATATATAAATAAAAAAAAAAAAAATTTTTTTTTTTAAGAAAAAAAAATTGTAATATGTTTCTATTACAATTTAATGTATTAGCACTTGCATCAACAAGAACTTTTGGAAATTTTGTTTGTTTATGTGATAATTGTTGACGATGAATATTATTTTCATTGTCACTTTCACTTGAATTGTCACTCTGTTGAATTTTATTATCATCATTATCATAATCATCATCATCATCATCATCATCGTCATAATCATCATCATCTTCATTATTGTAATCTTCTCTTCGACGTCGTCGTCGTCTTCGTCGTTGTGGAAAATGATATGGTATTTTTTGTTTATTTTCTTTATTACCACATTTAGCTTTATGTTCAATAAATTTTAAAATATCCGATAATTGAAAATCTTGTTGACATGAACCACATACAAGCATATCAATAAATTTAATACGATTGTCATTATTTATCGATGAATTATTATTACTGTTCGTAGAAGATATTGTATCTAATAATGATGATGTTTTCATTGTCGATCGTTTTAATGATGATGATGATGATGATATTTCATTATTATTATTACTGTTGCTATTGCCATTGGTCATCATTATTGACATTAATTGATTATTACTGGTGTTCATTGTCAGCAGTGGCTCAACACATTCGTTGACCATTCACTCTAGAAATAATGGTTTTATTTAATTGTATAAATCAATCAAAAAATATAAAATAAAATAAAAAAAAAAAGAGTGAAAAGACATAGGGAGTATTCAGAGAACATACACGCACATCTCGTTCGAAGATTAAATATAGCAGAACAACAACAAGGACAACAACATTAATAAGAGTAGCAAAGAAAGGAGAAGGGTCGAGTGAGAGAGACAGAGAGAAAAAAAAGAGGTGTATGTTTTTGTCTCATACAAAAACAAATTCGATTGTCTTCTATCGAATTGTCTTGTATTGCGCGCAATATTATTTTATATTATCAAATAATAGAATACAAGTAGACTAAAGACACAAAAAAAAAAATGAGAAAGCTACAAGTTCAATGTTTTAGATAATGGATAAGAGACTAAATGTTCTGTCTTACTCTCTCTGTCTCTCACACACACACACACGCACATACACATATACACAATATGCGCGCATATAAAAGAAATAGCCTTGTCCTTCACATTGGATTAGATGATAGTTGTGAGAAGAAAGGAGAGAAAGGACGAGAACGAATGTTATATATAGTCTTAGTCGCCATGACGTAAATTAGACATGCAATCATCTTTTACTTGCGTTCTCTCTCACTCTCCCTCGTTCTCGCCCGCCGTCGACATCGACATTATCGTCTCCCGTCTTGGACTTGTATGTCCGCCATATGGAAATAAAGGAGAAGGAGAAAGGGGACGATGAGGAAAGGAACAAAAAAAAAAAATGAAGGAAAAGAAGGAGAGTGTGAGAAAGAAAGAAATCGCTCGGGCGTTGGTATTCAACTCAACACTATTATTATCATCCGTTGTAATAGCTATTCATTGATGAAACGAGAGTCCGCAGGCAAGCTACCCATCCGGTCGGAATCCTCTTCCATCTATTCTTTTTCTTTTTTTCTCACATACTCATTTATTATTTTGCTAGAAAACACTAATAAAATGATATTTGAATGGGTTAGATAGTATCTTACTTCAAAAATTAATAATATTATATTCATTGTATATCAATTCAATTCGATCGAATATATTTTAACATTAAAAAGAAAATAGAATAAATGTATTAGAATATTTTAGATGAGATATTTTATATGTATATATCGATATCGAAGGATGAGATGTTGATATGACTTCTAGAAACATATGTATGTATTACGTACTCGACGCACATGTATTCGAATATTGTAAGCGTTGTCTTCGTTGTCAACGCAATATATGTGTGTATGTTAGTGGGTGAAATGACCGTTAATGACGACGCTCTTCTCTCTCTCTTCTGTCCTCTTCTTTCTTTTTGCTATGTCCTTGTGCAATGATCGTGTGCTTGTGTGTAGAGAAAGAGAGAGAGAGAGAGAGAGAGAGAGAGACGAAGTGCAAGTCGAGAGTAACGAACAGGCGAAGGCAAAGTGAGGGGCGAGTAAGCACGCGCGCGCGAGAGAGAGAGCAAAAAGGACAGGACTTCACAAGGATGAAAAGAACGCAAAAAAATGCATTACGAATCGAACGGACGCATATTTGACGCTTTACCGTTGGCCGCCATTGGAGTGTTAGTTGATGATGGTGACGACGTTCTCTTCTATTCTTCCCTCATTGCATTGCATTTCTCGTTCGCTCTCGTTTACGTACCATGCAACATCTGGTTTGTCCAGCCGCTCGGCATTGCTTACTCTTCTTGCCCCGTTTTTTTTCCTTGTTCTTCCTTTTTTTTCCCCTCTGTAAAAAGACCATCAATGACGGCACACGATAAAACAACAACTTATTTTTCTTCATCCTCATCATCAGAATTCTATAAGCATACAATACGTCCATCTAAAATCGTGCCGAATACGTATTATATTGATATACTTTATACGTCATACATATCTACATATATATATATATATATATATATTTGTATATAGATATGTATACATACCTGTCACACTCATTTTTCTTTGTAAGGATATTTATATAAAAAAAAACCTCTCAAGGTCGAAAATGACCTATCATAGTATGATTGTAAGAAAAAAATAATAATAATCTATCTGTACAATTCTCAATAAAGTGCAACTAATGGTTGTTAAAAAAAAATCAGTAAATGCTTTCAACGACCATGATGACGATGATGAAGGAGAAATCGTGCTCTTGTTTTACTCATTCTTTGATTATCCTTGTTGCCCGATCTACTTGGCCTTTTGTGTGTGTGCAGCTCGTACTCTTTTTCTCCTAGCTCTCTCTCTCCTCCTCTCTCTCTCTCTCTCTCTCTTGCTTTCAACATGCGGATGGTCGATGGTAATGATGAAGTAATCCGCGTAGATTAAATCAACATGAGCCGGAGGGGAGAGAAAAGGGAAAGACTCGACCAACACAAGCAAAGGAAAATAAAGAGAAAGATCAAGAGCGAATATTACGCGTATGCACGGCTGGGACACCTTCTATAGTCTTTGTTTTGTATGTCTGTCTCGGTTTTCTCTCCTTTCTTTTCTTTACATCATCTAATACTATTCGGTCTTCAATGTCGGGCGGTAACACACACTCGCTCACTGCACCAGACGCCCAGTGACTTGAATGCGCTGAGCATCTAAGCGATAATGAACGAGCAGAATTTTTTTCTTTGGGTTTTCCTTCTTTTTTTTTTTTTTTACCCGGATCTATTCGACCGACGTTGACACACACATGTCGAAGGCCAACTCAACAAACACAAACACATTCACGCATTAGGCGAAATAAAAGAAGAAAGACAGAAGTAAAGTAATTATGTAATCTCTATGTGAATATAAACTCACTGGTGCGGATATTGGATTGAACACCAATGGCCTTTCATAAGTTAAAAAGAAGAACGGGATAGAACAGCAGCCTGTCGGTGTCGATTACTCTTCAATACAAAAGAAAAAAAAAAAGAAAAGAGAAAGTGAGAGTGAACAAATGTCGACACCATGTGGTTATATGTGGGTCGAGTCAAGGACACAATCTCTTTTTTAATAAACTTCGTTCTTTCTTTCTTTCTCTCTATTCAATATTGACCATTACTTAAAATGATTCTATCCATAATAGACAATCAAATTGAGTGTATGCATGCTATTATATTTGACAAAACTATGATCTAATAGAAGTATTGTATGTTAGAATCAAAGAATAAACCGAACATTATATGACATCATCATACATATATAAATTTTTAATCTCAATGAAAGAGATATAATGCAATACTTTGATTATAGAAAATAATAAAAATTACCTCAAAAATTAATTAATTAAAACAATTTGATAGATTTCATCACTGGTTGTTTTTTTTCTTCTTTTTGAACACAAATAATTCATATCTAACAATAAATTGTTGATCTAAAAATGAACAGAACAAAAAATATGTAGTAATAAAAAAACAAAAGATTATTTCAAACGAATAATCATTGTACTTATCTCTACAATCACTCTCAAAATACATCAAAGTCAAGTTACAGTTATAAATAATGATACTTGAGACAGTAAATGTCATGAATGTTTTTGTTTTACTTTTCTATATTTAAAATATTTAGAGATATCTATGTTAATGTTCAATCTAAGATTTGAATTTGAACTAGTTCAAATTTGGATCGAATAAAAAACTTCTGAAATTGTTGTTGGATTCAAAACTTTTTATACATAAACTACAACCAATTGATAGCATTTTTATAATATCCGATTTAGAAGTCAGATTTCAATTAAATAAGTTTTATGTGTGAGTAAAAAGTCAACAAAACATTTTTATTTTATAAATATTTAAATCAAACTTTCATGATCAACTGTCTATACACAAATGAAATATCATTATTGCATTGTATTTTATCAAAGAACAAAAATCTTCAAAATTCAACATTAATTTCAGATTTTTGCTAGTTCAAACTTCGATGTTAGATTGGACGCTAATATATAATTTACAGAGTAATATGTAAACTTTTATCAAAAATAAATTGTATTCAATATGCATATTTAATAAGAAGATGCTATATATATATATATATATATATACATCAAATTTATTTTTACTGATTGTTAATTAAGGTGAGGACAAAAATAACATCTATTCGATGATTAATTCATTGCATGTTATGTTCGTCAATCTATTATCATGAAATTTAATCTTGAACTAGATTTAATTATTGTTTCTTTAGTTTTTTAATATAAAAAATGAATTTGTTAACATTTTTTTTTTAAAAGGCTTGATGATTTACCATTTGCTTACTATTGATATAAGTTGAGTGTTGTTTCATTCGAATGATATCTTAAATGTTACACCTTACAAATATATATCTTCAATATCTATCTAACTTCAAATATCATAAAAATACAACAAAAAAAATTAATATCATTCGAAAATTTATGAAAAAAACGTTTAAGTTACGTAAAATTGTCATGTCATGTTTCTTATAAACTGAATTGATTGAACTTTAGTATTTATCCATATACATACAACATTAATAGATGGCGCAAATTGACAATATTATGTATATTTTAGTTATACAAAAACAAGTAACCTGATTATTTCTATGAAATAATAGTTCTTTTAGCAAAATCGACTTAATACATAAGACAATCATTTCATAAACTACAAAAATTAATTTTCGTAATATATTTAAAATCATATTTAATTGTAACAACTTCTCAAACTTTTCTATTACAAATAATATTAAATATTTAAGTCATCAATCAATTAAAATCTAAACAAAAGAGGAACATTAAAAAAAAACCATAGTTTTAATTAATAGAAAATCTTTATATCTTTAATCTAACGTTCATTTGATACGCAGTAAAAATCGTCAATGAATATAATTATAACTATTAATATTCATATTTGATTGGACTATTTTATCATAGGCAAGATTTCTTTCATTTTATTAAATTAATTAACATGATAAATTTGAAAAAAGAAATTATTTAAAATTTCGATAAAAAGAGTTCATTAAATTTATAATTCTTTCGAAGAACTCTAAACACACAGCATTACATTACGTAACAACTAGACGTCAAATATATAAGAAAAAAAAAAATCTTTCTTTAATCAGATACATCATGAATATATTCTATACTCAACAACAAAACAATATTCTCATATTATATTAACACATGAAGATCTCAAAAAATTCAATAGATTATATTCATTTATTATTTTTTGAAACACATATGGTATTCGATGAGAAAAATATTTAATAACTGTAGCCTTTTTCAAAGTTCGATAGCAACAACAAAAGATTCTTTTATTTAAGTATCTTTTTTTGTAGCACTCACTGTTTTCTATACATAATGTCAATTAAATGCCTAGATTCTTCAGTATTGTTTCTGTCAACCATACAACGGAGAATTCATATGGCATAAAGAAGGTCGTTGATTATAGCACAGCTGTTTCTCATAGATAAACATAAATATTCGGGTCAATGAATTTTTAGCATGGCAAATTTAAGTACAAAGAATAATCTATATGGTGATTGTCCAACGTTGGAACGATTAGTATGAGAAAAGATAAGGGTAAATATCTATATATCATGACATTCAACAAAACAAAAAAGCCATAAAAAAATAATTGAACAATATACAAACAAATGGAGAAAATTGTAAACAATGGAATTCATCTGAAACACTATCGAATAGATGTATATGACAATTAGTAAATTTTTTTTGAAATTGTTGATTTATCTATGACATAAGAGCAGCCATCAAGATTTAACCATGATTTTTATTTAATTATTTCAATATAGAATTATTTTAATATTTTAGATCAATCAAATTCTTTTTATGAATTTTGTATGTTTAACGAAAAATTTCTTTCGGTCATATCAATGATTATGAATTTAGATCATCTTAATAGTATTTATTACTTTGTTTGAATCATTAATATATACTTTTTTTCCACGAACAAATATCATTAATATTTATTCGATGTAATATAATTTCATTTATATGTCCTCATATCGTATATTTTATGCAAGATCATAAAAGATTTAAATTCATATAAACTTTAAATTTAAATAGTTGCTCTTTTTTTAATCTATGTATATAAGAATTTCTCTATAAATCTAACAAAATAACTG